ACGCTCCTACGCAGAGGCGATGGAGGGTCTCTACTCCTCTCAGTGGCAGACAGCCATGGACGCAGAGATGGCTTCCTGGAAGTCCACAGGCACCTACGTCGACGAGGTTCCCCCACCTGGGGCGAACATCGTTAGTGGCATGTGGATTTTCAGGGTGAAGCGGCCGCCGGGTTCTCCGCCTGTCTTCAAGGCGCGTTACGTTGCATGAGGCTTCAGTCAGCGAGAGGGAGTTGACTTCTTCCAGACCTTCTCCCCGACCCCGAAGATGACCACTCTTCAGGTTCTGCTGCACGTCGCCGCTCAGCGTGACTACGAGCTTCACTGCCTTGACTTCAGCACTGCGTTCCTACAGGGCACTCTGCACGAGAAGATCTGGCTGCGCCGCCCACCTGGCTTCACTGGGTCGTTCCCTCCTGGTACACAGTGGAGCCTCCGGCGGCCGGTCTACGGTCTCCGCCAGGCGCCCCGTGAGTGGCACGACACACTGAGGACTACTCTTGCTGCTCTTGGGTTTGCCCCTTCTACTGCTGACCCGTCGCTGTTTCTACGCACCGACACCACTCTGCCGCCGTTCTACGTTCTCGTGTACGTAGACGACTTGGTCTTTGCTACTGCTGACACTGAGGCACTCGCCCACGTGAAGTCGGAGCTGCAGAAGAGACACACGTGCACAGACCTGGGTGAGCTGACAAGCTATCTTGGCTTGCGGATCACCCGGGACAGAGCACAGCGCACCATCACCTTGACTCAGTCACACATGGTGCAGCAGGTCCTTCAGCGCTTCCGCTTCACGTACTCCTCGCCTCAGCCCACTCCTCTGCCTACCGGTCACTCGCTCTCAGCTCTGCCTTCGGATGAGTCCGTAGAGCCGAGTGGCCCGTATCCAGAGCTTGTGGGCTGCCTCATGTACCTGATGACCTGCACTCGACCTGACCTTGCATACCCTCTTACCATCCTAGCACGCTATGTCGCTCCTGGCCGTCACCGGAAGGAGCACATGGATGCCGCTAAGAGGGTGTTGTGCTACTTGTGCAGTACGTCGGGCATGGGGCTTGTGCTTGGAGGACGGTGGCCATTGCCTTGTGTCAGGAGCACAGACTGGAGCACAGAACGAAGCACATCGCTCTGCGCTACTTCCTTGCTCGAGAGCTGCAGCAGCGTGGTCAGCTTCGTCTGCGTTACGTGGCCACTCAGGCCAACACTGCTGATGTGTTCACCAAGGCGCTTCAGCCTTGTGATCATCAGCGTTTCTGTACTGTTCTAGGCCTTGTGCCTACTCTCCCTCACTTGCTCACTTCTTGACTCTGCTTGTACTGTGATCTCTATATATATACCTGCATGCTTTCACTTGCTAGGTTGTGATCACTGTACCTCTTGTTATATTATCAAACTGCATGTGAACTGGTCTTGTGACCGCTTGCTTGTGCTCGGAATTTGTGTGGTATCCTTGAGATCCACCCTGAGCTTGTTTTGCTTTGCTTTGCTTTGCTTTGACTGGTCTTGTGACCATCTGGTTGTCTCCCACTTAGCCTATGGGGGTGTGTCAAACATTGTATGTTTATATTATCTAGGCTATAGTGGGTTTAGCCATAGGGGGTACAACAAACTTAGGGTTTCCTACTTGTACCCAACTTTCTGCTAGTTCAATCATTCCTGTTTCGTTCTTTCTAACAGACGGCGCACGACAAGCGGAGGCTGAGCCATAACGCCGGACGCGCTGAAAAGCATACAGACGCGCATTTCACACTTCGGACAGTAGCCCGTGGCCGCATTGAAATTATACGTATACGGCAGAGTCGTTGCAAGAAGGGGCGTCTCCACAAAGCAGAAAACATCGTCCGGGTGTACCTTGAGTGCCTCTAAGAGTTGGACTAAAGCGGCCATATGGGAGATTGTACTGGACGCAGTGCAGAACGCGAGATATAGGGCGCTGGTGTCTGGCTTTGGTAGGAACGCAAGTCTGCGAGAACCTGGACATGTTGATGGTCTTGGCACAGACGGTGTCCGCGTCCAGTACCCAAAGCGAGCTTGTTGACACGTCAGGGCAACACATGGTGGACAACGATTAGTGCACATTACGATTACAGTCCAATACCCGGATCAGGTTTGGTGTTGTCCATGTGGCATTTTAGCGTCCGTCTGTCCGGTTCAGGCAAACGGGGTTTGTGTTCATGGTTAAACATGGTAAACATGGTGGAGAGTGTTTGATGAACGTTGCCGTCGCAAACACACTAGCGCGTACAGCAACTCTTATTAGTGTGCTGTTCACACACAATTGAAGTAGCGTAAAATGCAAGACTGTCGCCTGGTCTCTGGTGCGCAACAGCGTCTGCTTGATAGTCCACCGTGGAGAAGCCCGCACAATGTTGTTGCTGAAGGGCATAAGTATGGGTTCACACTTAGTATCGAGAACATATGAACACGCCTTATTCTGTGGTTTTGGACCTGGGCTTTTCGCAGATGACCTGTGTTACACCTAATCCCTGGAAGGGTGGGCACGTGCAAGCGGCACATATTGTACGGGTCCTACCACTGGTTGGCGAGTGATGATGTTATATTCAAACTTATCGCCACAGCGAAACTACATTGGACAGTTACCAAATGTTTTCGTAGCATTTGGAGTTCGAGAAACATCGCGGTATTTCGTAACCCTAAACCGTCCAACCGTGGCAACCGCACGGTGTTGCGCCGGGGAATCATGTCATCGTTCACTTTGGGGGGGCGGAACAGTTTTTCCAAAGTGTTCCGTGTGTGGGGTTTTTTATCACACGATGATGTGACACGTGTATTGGCTATTGTGGGAAATGTTGTACCGTACGCATAGCGTGCGTAAGATGGTATTTTTGAAAGGTGTGCAATTTTGCAATTAGGGTTTCGCCCTCACTGTCCGCGATGTTAGGTAACGCGTGCGAGGCATGCGGCGTAGAACACGTCGATGATAACCGCCCGCAGTCTCACGTCGCTGGCAACAAGCGATGTAGACGTAAGATTAATCACCTCAGGGCGGAGAGGATTGTGGATGCGTACAGAGAGGCTGCGCGCGCTATGCGTGAGACGCGGCCACCGTCCTCTGTACGGTCGAGCCTGAACAACGTGCAGTCGGAATCAGGCATTGGTGATGGGCAGGAAGTGGCAGAGGACGACGCACTTGATGCCGAGCCATTCGACGTTGATGATGCTGTTAGCGACATCAGCAGCATAGACGACGGATTCGACACGCTCACAGAGCTGTATATTTTTTTCCGGGACGCAGACCTGTCTAGACGCGAGGTAAACCGACTGCTCCACATCTTCAGCAATCCACGATTCTCAGTGAGGGACGTCCGGAGGTGGCTGAACTACGTAGATGTTCGGCGGTTCGGCAAGGCGATGGCTCCACCTGATTTGGTGGCATGGCAGACCACATCGATCAAATGCTATGGCCCAGGGGGCCAGATGGCGATTCTCCCGCTGCATTTCAGGAACACTGAACTTGTGAGTCTTTGACCCGATGTAAAATTTGGGTGCGTGGTGGGGGGGCGTGACATTGCGGTTTATAACATGTTGATGTCCCGCCCTGAACAGTTGGTGCAGAAGCTGGTGCTGACGTACGTACACAACAGCGGGTTTGTCACTGAGCCGCGAAGAGACAAGGACGACTGTGAGGGAAAGCGGCATTTCAGCACTCCCGACACCGGCATTTGGATGGAAAGAGCTCATGTGAGTGCTGATTGAGTCTGTAGTTGTGTTTGACGTTGGGGTCGGGGTGCACGACTTGGCGACGAGTTCTCGCGAGACTTGGGGTGACAGTACACCGTGCATGTGTGTGCAGGCGAGCCGTCCGAACGGGGAGGGGATGATTCTCGGCGTTATAGTGTACAGCGACAGTACACACGCGTCCTCCAACGGCAGGCTTCAGGCATGGCCCGTTCTAATCAGCCTGTACAACATCCCGGAGAGCCTGAGATGGCTTGAACCAGGTCACGTCCTGGCAGGGGTGCTGCCATTCCCGCCGGAATGGGCTACATCGACGGAGAAGACACGAGTTTTTCAGGAGGCCATGGCGGTTATGTTTTAGCCTCTCCTGAGAGAGCATCATGGGTGAGTGGGTGTTGGACATGTGTACAGAACCCCTGTTGTTCACGTAACGTGCCTGTGGCGCATGTGTCAAGTGTAGTTGCATTAACCTATGTCCGGGCTGTGTTCTGTGTAGGGCGGAGCTGAAGTTCATTTATGTGACAGATGCATCGGGGAAAGTTGTGAAGGCGTACCCTTGTCTCTTTGCGGAAGTGGGGGACTACCCTGAATCATCTCGTTGCACCGCCACGATGCAGCAGAGGTCACACAGGCCGTGCAGTTCGTGTTTTATCAAAAGGGTGCATCTCTCAGAGCTCGAGACCGAGACAACGACCCGGACACCACATCTACACAGGCGCTTAGTGGATGCAATACAGAACGCAGCGACTAGCAACGATGCGGGCAAGATCATGCGCCGCTGGTCGACACACCCAGTGCAGGTATGAGTGCGGGGCCGGTCAGTGACTCATGTGTTTGTGGGACATGCGCATCTGGTGGTTGGGAAGTAGGGGTGGCCGGTGCAAGAAGAGGCTCCTGGTTGAAGGGTTGCTCTAATTTGTTGAGTTTATTTGTTGCATTGTGTGGCAGTGCGTCCTGGAGAGGTGGAATTTCGCCGATACCACGTGGGGGAACTGTTTTTTGGCATGCGTGGCGGACATCCTCCATGTATTGGACGGAGGCATGCTAGGTCACTTGGTATAAATTTTCATACGTGGACTCAGCAAGCCGGAGAGGCGCGAGCTCGAGAGGTACGTGCGGAGTCTTGATGTGACAGCACATGTGTGATTCCGCACGTGCAATTAAACCGTATAGCGTCTACGGTCGTGTGCAGGCGGAAGAAAGAGCAGAAGAAGGACACACGCAGCACAATTGTACGCATACCTGGTGGAGCTTCATGGTTCAGGTCACGCGCGAACTACGCGGCATTCGAGAACAGGGGCATGATGCAGGTCATGCCGATCCTCATTGCTGACAACATGGACGGCTGCAAGCCTGTAGAGAAGGATCAGCGCGTAAAGGAAGTTCGGGCGTTCCGCAAGTACGCGATGTTCTACAAGGGGCTTGTAGGCGTGTCGAGGCACACCGAGAAGTCCCTGGATGACGTCCGCAAGTACTCGTACGAGTGAGTGTGGATTGGTGGGGGTTGATTTTGGTGGCCGGAGAGTACACAACCTTAGTGGTTGTGGGGCGCATTGGTTGTCCGTTTCCCGCATCGCAGTGCAATGTTCATGTCCACAATGTTGCCTGGAGGGTGGGTGCTGAATGGGCGTCTCATGACCGTCTGTTCATGGAACCCGTGTCACCTACATTGCAGGATGATGGACGCTATCGTGGACGCTTTCCCGGATCCGAATTCTGCGTGGAACATACCGAAGGTGCATCAGATTGTGCACCTCATAGACCAGATTCCACTGCGTGGGATGCCGTGGGAGTACTCCACGAATCTCTGGGAGCACACCCACAAGGGCACGGTGAAGGTCCCTGTGCGCGGCAGCAACTGGAAGGACATTCCAAGACGCATCGTGGAAGAGGAGGTGCAGAGAGAGATCACTCGAGAGGTCGCGGCTCTGGCGGGTGGCGGAAGGCAATACGTTACAGCATTGCGCGAGGTGAGATAGAGTGGGGGGGCTCTGATTGTTTGCGAATAATCGCGCTATGTGTAGCGTGGTGACGGTCTTCGGTTAGTGCAAAGGCTGAAAGTATAGATGTAAGTTTAGTCTCTGGGTGCGTACATGTGGATGATTTGTGTCTTGAAAATGCCACATCCGCGTCCATGCGTCAGCAGTGTCCAATGCGTTGGCAGTGCTTGAAGTGGTACTGTAAAATGCATTAAGACTGGCCTTCACGTTGCCATGGTTCAATGCGGATGAACTGCGTGGCAGGCCGTGCGGCTTCAAGGGCACGTGCTGACACGGAAGTCGAGGAACGCCAACGTGAGCAACGAGGAGGACGCCGTGCTGTGGGTGTACAGGGAGGCTCTGGGATCAGACATGAAGGCGCTTGGAAGGTGCCTGCTGGAGGCCGATGTGACGACAACCGAGATCAAGGTGTGTGAATGTGCACCACACAGGAAATGGAACAAAGCTTGTCGGGGGTTCTTGAAGAGGTTGCTGCAATCCTATCGTTATACGCTGTACTTGGGTTGTTGGCCTCATAGCCCTCCCCGTGTGTGTGTTGTGTGTAGGTGCACACAGCCGTGGCCATTCCGCGAACCCGAGCTCCGAGCTGGTGGCCAAGGGCACATTCGTGAAGGCGAGCCCGTCAGAGAACTGGTTCTCGGACGTGGCTGTGAGGAACCCGAAGGAGAAGGAGTGGTACGCACGATGCATGTGCGTTTTCCGTGCAACCAACTCTGAGGGGAAGGAGGGTGCGTACGCATATGTTAAGTACTACGAGGCTGCAGGAGAGTGCCCTATGACAACCTGTGTGCAGCTAACTCCTGGGAGGGCTCACAACAAGTACGCTGTGGTAGACGTGGAGTGCATCAAGCGCGTGGTGCACGTATGCAGATCATATGTGAACAAGAAAGTGATGCTCCTCAACAAGTTTCTGTTGTGCGAGTAGATGTGGAGTTTGTTTTAAAATGGGACGCGCTCGCGGACGTGAGAGGTGGTGGACAAGGATAGAGTGCTCGATGTAGTTGTTTTAAAGTGTGATTGCTGTCAGAACATTATAGCTTATGCTGTTGTGTAGGCTATAGTGGGGTATCCCATAGGGGGTACAACCAATTAGGGTTTCATATTTGTACTCACTTCATTTCATAGTTCATTCATTTCTTGTTCAAATCTTCTCATGGTATCGAGCAGGTTCCCCCTTGGGAACTGTGCTTAGGGCCCACCACATCGATTTTTTTTTCCTGCCCGAAGCGCGCTCAGCCCGAGTCGCGCTTCGGGCCCTCACTTCGTCGAGCCGCCCTAGCGGCCCTGCACTGCGGCCCCGCCACCCGTCTCCGCGGCCCCGCCGCCCGTCTTCGCGGCCCCGCCGCCTCTCTCCTAGCGGCTCCGCCGCCCTACCTAGCGGCCCCGCCGCCCTACCTCGCGGCCTCGCCGCCCCATTGCGCGGCCCCGCCGCCCTACCTAGCGGCCCCGCCGCCCCATCGCGGCCCCGCCGCCCCATCGCGCGGCCCCGCCGCCCCATCGCGCGGCCCCGCCGCCCCATCGCGCGGCCCCGCCGCCCTTCCTCGCGGCCCCGCCACCCCATCGCGCGGCCCCGCCGCCCCATCGCGCGGCCCCGCCGCCCCATCGCGCGGCCCCGCCGCCCTACCTAGCGGCCCCGCCGCCCTTCCTCGCGGCCCCGCCACCTTACCTGCGGCCCCGCCCTTACCTGCGGCCCCGCCGCCCTCTGCTGCGGCCCCGCCACCTTACCTGCGGCCCCGCCACCTTACCTGCGGCCCCGCCGCCCTCTGCTGCGGCCCCGCCACCCTATCTGCGGCCCCGCCACCCTACCCGCGGCCACGCCGCCCTTACCAGCGGCCCCGCCGCCCTTACCTGCGGCCCCGTGCCCTGCAGCAGCACAGCCGAGCCGCCCAGCAGCCGAGCCGCCGAGCCGCCCAGCAGCCGAGCCGCCCAGCAGCCGAGCCGCCGAGCCGCCGAGCAGCCGAGCCGCCCAGCAGCCGAGCCGCCCAGCGGCCGCGCCGCCCAGCAGCCGAGCCGCCCAGCAGCCGAGCCGCCCAGCAGCTGAGCCGCCGAGCCGCCGGGCCGCCCAGCAGCTGAGCCGCCGAGCCGCCGCGCCGCCCTCCTTCAGGGCCGCCCGACCTGCCCAGTCTGGTGAGCACAGCGCCTTTTCACTGCACTGTCCTCACCCCACTGTTTGCGCTGCTAGTCGTCTAGGGTCATGGCTACCCCTAGTGTTCTCGCCTTTGACGCTGAGGGTAGGGCCATTGACTTTGAGGTCTGGGTAGATGACCTGCAGCTGTTCTTATAGTGCGATAGGGCAGACGGCCTCTCTCTCTTTGACCACACCTCTGGCACCTCCACTGCCCCTGCTGCTGATGCTGACGCCACTGTTCGCTCCCAGTGGGCCACGCGCGACGCTGCTGCACGTCTTGCTGTGCGTCGCCACCTCCCTACCTCCGAGCGTGCGCACTTTAGTCAGTACAAGAGTGCTCAGACCTTGTACGACGCTGTAGTTGCGCGCTACTCCTCCCCTGCCACTGCTGCACTGAGCCGTCTCATGCTACCGTACCTCTTTCCTGATCTTACTGCCTTTCCCACAGTCACTGACCTCATTACGCACCTCCGCACTAGTGACACTCGCTACCGCGCTGCACTCCCTCCTGACTTCTGCGCCAGGAACCCCCCCCCCATGTACATCACTCTTTACTACATAGTCACTCGCCTTCCTGACTCCCTTCGCGTAGTCAGGGACCACTTTCTCTCTGTCTGTCCCACCACTCTCACTGTTGACCTCCTCGAGAAGTCCCTCCTAGCGGCCGAGAAGAGCATCGTCGCTGTAGGGGCCTCTCGTGGTGACCCGCGCACCCCCATCTTTGAGGGGTGTTCCCCCTCCCCCCTTCTGCCCTCTGTTGCCTCTGCTGCTGCGGCCGACCTCCTTGTTCTTGAGTCGGTCGGTGCGGCGTCTGCCCCTAGCGGGAGACGCCGCTCTGGCAAGGGCAAGGGGGGCAAGGGCGCTGGAGGAGCGAGCGGGGGCGATGGAGGTGGAGGTGGCGGCAGTTGGGGGAGTGGGGGTGGCGGTGGGAGTGGAGGTGGGGGTGGAGGGGTCGGTGGCGGCAGTGGAGGTGGAGGTGGCGGCGGCGGTGGCGGTGGGAGCGGAGGTGGCGGAGGTGGCGGAGGTGGAGGCGGCGGCGGAGGCGGAGGCGGCGGCAGTAGCGGAGGCGGCGGAGGCGTCGGAGGCGGCGGAGGTGGCGGTGGTGCTGGTCGCGGGTCTTCGCAGAGGAGTGGCTCCGGTGGTGGCTCGCGCCAGCAGCAGCAGCGTGGTCGTGACACCCTGTCCCCTCAGCAGCTTCGTGAGTGGTACACTGCGCGTCAGCGGGGTGGGGGTTTTGGTCCGTGCTCCTACGTTTTGCGCACTGGCGACCGTGCGGGTGAGCAGTGTGGGGGTGCCCACCCCACCCAGCGCTGCTTTGGCCGCCTGACGGACGCGTGGCGTCACCAGTTCCCGGAGGCCTCCGAGATCCCTCGCTGGGGCGAGCTGTCTAGGGCGGGTGTTGCCATCTATGACCTTGACTTTGATGCTATTCTCTCTGCCATGTATGCTGTGTCTATTAGTGATGAGGGTGACTGTTACCGGTGTTTCCCGCCCGATCCGGGCATTGAGACTGCTGCTCTAGGTCCTGGTGAGGCTGCTGCCCTAGGTGCTTGCGACGCTGCTGCTCTAGGTGCTCGTGTGTCTGCGTCCTCAGGTACTGGTGAGTCTGCGCTCTCAGGTACTGCGTCGGCTTCGGCCTCCCTCACCTTCACCCTTGACTCTGGGGCGTCTCGCTCCTTCTTTCGGGACCGCACCACACTCACACCGCTGAGTCGACCGGTTGCAGTGTCTCTGGCTGACCCCTCTGGGGGTCCTGTCCTGTCTCGCTTCTCCACAGTCCTCCCGTGTCCGGCGGCTCCCTCTGGCACCCTGTCTGGTCTCTACCTCCCCTCGTTCTCTACGAACCTGGTGAGTGGTGCTGACCTACAGGATGCGGGGGTCCACCAGTTCACTCCTGCACGTCAGAGAGTGACCCACTGTACAGAGGCTGGCACAGGCCGACACCTGGCTACGTTCACCCGTCAGCCGGGGTCGAGCCTGTACACTCTGACCACTGCGTCTCCTCCAGTTGCTGAGTCTGGTAGGGTAGTTACGTCGGGTCAGGTGTTTGCTGCGGCGTCCAGGTCTGGTCCTGAGTCTGCCCCCTGTTCGTGTCGTCTCCTGTCTCACGAGACTCTCCTCTGGCACCACCGCCTTGGCCACCCCTCTCTGCTTCGGCTCAGAGGTATGGCCTCCCGTCTTCTTGTGTCCGGTCTCCCCCGGTCCCTCCCTCCCCTTCCTCAGGGCCCTCCTCTCCTACTCCTAGAGGGTCCCTACTCCTCTCAGTGGCAGGCAGCTATGGATGCAGAGATGGCTTCCTGGAAGTCCACAGGCACCTACGTTGACGCTGTCCCCCCTCCTGGGGCGAACATCGTCAGTGGCATGTGGATCTTCAGGGTGAAGCGGCCGCCGGGTTCTCCGCCTGTCTTCAAGGCGCGTTACGTGGCTCGTGGCTTCAGTCAGCGGCAGGGAGTTGACTACTTTCAGACCTTCTCCCCCACCCCGAAGATGACCACTCTTCGGGTACTGCTGCACGTTGCTGCTCACCGTGACTACGAGCTGCACTCTCTTGACTTCAGCACAGCTTTCTTGCAGGGCAGCCTGCACGAGGAGATCTGGCTGCGTCGCCCACCTGGCTTCACTGGGTCTTTCCCTTCTGGTACCCAGTGGAGTCTCCGGCGTCCAGTCTACGGTCTCCGCCAGGCGCCACGTGAGTGGCACGACACACTGAGGACTACACTTGCGGCTCTTGGGTTTGCTCCTTCTACTGCCGACCCGTCGCTGTTTCTACGCACCGACACCTCTCTGCCGCCGTTCTACATCCTCGTGTACGTCGACGACTTGGTCTTTGCCACAGCTGACACTGCTGGACTCGCCTACGTGAAGTCCGAGCTGCAGAAGAGACACACGTGCACAGACCTAGGTGAACTGCGCAGCTACCTTGGCTTGCAGATCACCCGGGACAGAGCACGCCGCACCATTACCCTGACTCAGTCACACATGGTGCAGCAGGTCCTTCAGCGCTTCGGCTTCACGTACTCCTCGCCTCAGGCCACTCCTCTGTCTACTCGCCACTCGCTCTCAGCTCTGCCATCGGATGAGTCCGTAGAGTCGAGTGGCCCGTACCCAGAGCTTGTTGGCTGCCTCATGTACCTGATGACCTGCACACGACCTGACCTTGCATACCCTCTTAGCATTCTGGCACGCTATGTTGCTCCTGGGAGACACAGACCAGAGCACATGGCTGCAGCGAAGAGGGTGTTGCGCTACTTGTGCAGTACGTCGGGCATGGGGCTAGTGCTTGGAGGGCGGAGTCCAGTGGTCCTCACTGGGCACGCGGACGCTTCTTGGGCTGACGACCAGGCTACGCAGCGGTCGTCACAGGGTTACACCTTCAGCCTTGGTTCCGGCTCTGTTTCGTGGCGGGCTACTCGCTCGTCTTCTGTTCTTGGCTCGAGTTGTGAGGCTGAGATCTACGCCGGGGCCATGGCTGCACAGGAGCTTCGCTGGCTCACCTACCTGCTGACCGACCTTGGAGAGCCGCCTCGTTCTCCTCCAGTCCTGTACGTAGACAACAAGGCCATGCTGGCCTTGTGTCGAGAGCAGCGACTGGAGCACAGAACAAAGCACATTGCTCTCCGCTACTTCCTTGCTCGTGAGCTACAGCAACGTGGTCAGTTGCGGCTTGCGTACGTGGCCTCTGAGGCCAACACTGCTGATGTCTTCACCAAGGCACTTCCGCCTTGTGATCATCAGCGCTTCTGCACTCAGCTGGGTCTTGTGCCCGTCTTGCCTCACTTGCTCTCCTCTTGACCTTGCCTGTACTCTCACATATATATATACCTGCTCTTGCTTGTCTAGCTTTATATATATGTGTGTACTCTTGCATGTGAACTGGCCGTGTGGCCTTGACCCTGTGCTCGGACTGTGTGGTGACTTTGTGATCCACCCTGAGCTTGCTTTGCTTTACTTTGCTTGACTGGTCTTGTGACCCCTTGTTCTCCCCCACTTTGCCTATGGGGGTGTGTCAGAACATTATAGCTTATGCTGTTGTGTAGGCTATAGTGGGGTATCCCATAGGGGGTACAACCAATTAGGGTTTCATATTTGTACTCACTTCATTTCATAGTTCATTCATTTCTTGTTCAAATCTTCTCAATTGCATGTGCTGCACATGAAGTGACGTGTTGTGTGGTGCAGTGATTTTTAGTGGTCAGATGTATTGGTTGGTTTGTTTATCAATTTTGGACACTTGACTTAATAAGTGTAGATCGGGTAGTGTACTTTAAGGCGGGTGTGTCATGTATTGGTTGATTTTTGTTTGGTCACGCCTGAAAATGATTGTGCGACGCGCCAAAGAAACGGAGGCGGCCCGGCGATTTTCGTGAAATGTGCGGTTCGATGTTCGCGGGGCGGGCATCGCTGGTGAGCGGGAATGGTGACGAGAACGTCACAAAACCCGAGGTACATTTCGGGGGTGTGTCGGGACTTTTTTGTGGTTTTCTAGTAGAAAAACCTACATAACGCAAAAATGGGCCCTCGCCTTTTCCGCAATGCGCGGTGCCAGAAACCAACCCACGCTCTCGCACCAACCCGCGCTCGCGCACGAACTCGCGGTTGCGCCCGTGCACCTGTCGCCGGAGGCGACTACGGGGTGGGAGGGAGAGGCGACAGCGGGGAGGAGGGAGAGGCGACGGCGGGGAGGAGGGAGAGGCGACGGCGGGGAGGAGGGAGAGGCGACGGCGGGGAGGAGGGAGAGGCGACGGCGGGGAGGAGGGAGAGGCGACGGCGGGGAGGAGGGAGAGGCGACGGCGGGGAGGAGGGAGAGGCGACGGCGGGGAGGAGGGAGAGGCGACGGCGGGGAGGAGCGAGAGGCGACGGCGGGAGGAACATAGAGGCGACGGCGGGAGGGAGGGAGCGGCGACGGCGCGGTGGGAGGGAGAGGGGATGGCGGGGTGGAATGGAAAGTGGATGGCAGGGTGGGAGGGAGCAGCGCTGGAAAGGTGGGAGGGAGAGGCGATGACGAGGTGGGTGGGAGGGTGAGGCAACAGGTGGTGGGGAAGGAGAAGCGATGACGGGGTGGGAGGGAGTGCCTCCAAACAAGAAACTACAGTTACCGAAATGGGAGAAGGGAGGAGGCATGAAACACAAAACGAAAAGACATGGGGCAAAACGAAAACACTGAACAGAATTTGCGCACCTCCCAGAAAAAAACGACGCATGAAACACTTCGTATATAGAAACCCGAAAACGATGGGGCAATCTGAAAGCCAGCACAGAACTTGGGCACTTGGAATCTAAAAAACAAAAACCAAATGCTGATGCCACGTGAGAACACACGCATAATCACGAGGAATTTGTGTGAGCTGGAAACTGTTACGAGTGCAATTGAGTGAGCGAGCGAGAATTGCACTATCGAAGCAAAAAAATACAATGAGCGAAGGCATGAGCGAAGAATATATAGCGAAACTACAGTGGTAACGGTAATGTGTGAAAAGTGGGGTGCGCGACGGGCCTAGTGCCGAGGTTGGGTGATGTCGAGGCGGAGGTCCGGAGCGCGGGTTACCAAGCGAACCGTGAGGTTGGGTCGCATCGTGAACAGTGGCGGGAGTCGTGGTCGAGGCGAATGTCGCGAGCGGGTAACGTTCACGGATGGGTGCCGATGGCGGGAACGGGCATGTACGCGGTAAGCAGGGACGCGAAGGAAGGAAAAGGAATTTTCCTTACACTACCCCCCTCCCCAAAGAGGCCCCTCTTACGAGAGCGCGTGTACATCTCGGAAGTTTCGGCTTCGCAGATACTCAGTGAGGACAGGGTGATTCTCGATTCTATCCAGGGGGACCCAGTTGTCTTCGGTGGGCGTGCGGTCCTTCCAGCGGATCAGGAATTCGATTCTGCGGGCTCCCCGTGGGTCACGTACTCGATGGCTCAGTATTTTCTCAGGCGTGATGACTGGCTCAGTCGGTGGTCGTGTCATGCTGGCGGGGCGGTTGCGAGGCAGTTGGCTGGTGGATGGCACGTATGGGCGAAGCAGGCTGACGTGGAAGGACGGGCTGACGTACCAGTCAGCAGGGAGGAGGAGATGGGCGGTGACGGGTGTGATCATGTGGCTGATGCGAAATGGCCCGCAATATCGGGGGCGGCGTTTTGGGGTGATGGGCAAGCGGAGGTTTTGAGTGTCGAGTAAAACTAGGTCGTCTGGCTAGTAGGTGACAGGCCGGCGGTGGCGGTCAGCGTTGCGTTTAGCGATGATGTTTGGTTTTTTTATTGCTTCGGCTGCTCGGGTCCGTGCAGCTTGCAGTATTTCTGCGAACTGTTGCGCGCGTGGAACTGGGTTGTCGGGATTCGGGGTCATGGGTACTGTGGGGTCTTGTCCGTAGTTCAGGTAAAACGGTGACTGTTGGGTCGTGGCGGATGGCGAGTTGTTGTACGCAAATTCGATGAGTGGCAGTTGCTGTTCCCACGTGGTCGGGTCGTCGCACGTGGCCCGGATGAGCTGTTCCATGGTCTGATTTGTCCGTTCTGTCTGCCCGTCGGTTTCGGGGTGGTATGATGAACTAAACTGTAGTCGCGTGCCGAACTGCTGCCACAGGTTCCGCCAGAAGTTGCTGGTGAATTTCGTGTCTCTGTCGCTGATGATTGATGCTGGTATCCCGTGTAGGCGAACGACGGTAGAGATGAAGAGGCGGGCCGTTTCTTTGGCTGTGATTGATTTCTTGCAGGCTGCGAAGTGTGCCATTTTCGTCAGTCGATCGACGACGACCAGGATCGCGTCATTCCCACTTGCTCCGGCCGGTAACCCCGTGACGAAGTCCATCGTCGCCTGCTGCCAAGCACGCTCTGGGGGTGGTATCGGCTGCAACTGTCCTGCCGGCCGCTTCCGTGATGACTTCATGATCTGGCAAGTGGGACACGATGCCACGTGTCGTTGAACGTCGGTCAACATTTCGGGCCAGTAATAATACCGCTGCAGCTGCTGCCGTGTTTTTTCTACCCCGAAATGTCCCGAGGTAACTCCGTCGTGTGCCTCCTGTAACAGTAATTCCCGTAGCAGTGTGTACCCTGGTACCCAGATGCGGTCGGTCCCGTCTTTTACGTAATAGACTCCCTTTGCTGCTGCGAACTGTTGCGAATTTCCTCCTGTGAAGAATGGATCCGTTTGGTACCCGTGGGTAAATAGGCCTGTCAGTAGTGGGCTGGTCTGGGCGAGTAGTATTGCGTGGATCTGGGCAGTGGGGCGGGTCAATGCGTCGGCGATGTTCGATGCCCCTTTTTTGTAGGTGACTGTGTAGTGGAAGTTTGACTCGAGGAAATCGAGCCAGCGAATCTGTCGTGGGTTGAGGTGGGGCTGTGCGCGGAGATACTGTAATGATTAATGATCTGTCCGTACTGTCACGTCTGCGCCGGTCAAGTAACAGCGCCAAACCTTGAATGCATGCACGATCACGAGCATTTCGCGGTCGTGTATCGGGTAATTCTTCTCGGGCGGATGCAGTTTTCGTGACTCGTATGTGATGGGCTGTAAACCGTTGCCGAAGTCCTGTAGCAGTACGGCTCCAATGGCGATGTCGCTTGCGTCTGTAACTACTTCGAATGGGCGGTGTGGGTCAGCGATGCGCAGTACGGGCGGTGAGCAGAGAACATGTTTCAGGGCAGAGAAGGCAGCATGCTCTTTCTCCCCCCACGTAAAAGTGACCCCCTTCCGCAGTAAATCCGTCAGTGGGGCAGTTAACCGTGCCATATCGGGGATGAACCGACGCACATAATTAACGAACCCTAAAAAGCTCTGCAGCTCCGTGATGTTCGTCGGGGGGTGCCACGCTTTTACCGTGTCCAGCTTCTTTGGGTCGATTTCAACTCCAGCCTCCGAAATAACGTGCCCCAAAAATTCTAACCTATCCTGGAAAAATTCGCACTTGGAATCCTTGGTCAGTAATCTGTGCTCGTCTAAAACCTTAAATACTGCTTCCAGATCTGCTAAGTGCTGCTGCTTATCCCGACTGTAAACTAGGATGTCGTCGAGGTAAACTATCACGCATTTATCTAAGAGCGGCCTAAACGCCTCGTTCATGGTCATCTGAAAAGTCGCCGGTGCGTTGGTCAGCCCGAATGGCATCACGGTGTACTCGAATGACCCATACCTAGTTCTAAATGTTGTTTTTACGCAGTCCGATGGTTCGACCCGAATCTGGTGGTAACCTCCGCGTAAGTCAATTTTCGAAAAGACCCGTGCTGTTCGCAGTTGATCTATCAGTTCGTCGGCGCGGGGAATGGGGTATCGCGACTTGACTGTTACCCTGTTCAGTGCTCTGTAGTCGATACACATGCGAAACCCCCGTCTTTTTTCGGTGTGAACAGTATCGGTGCGGCGAACGGTGACGAGCTCGATCGGATGAATTTTTTCTCTAACAGGTAATCTAACTGCTTCCTCAGTTCGTCGAGCTCTGGCTGTGTCAGTCGGAATTGTCGCTGTACAGTTGGCTGTGCCCCTGGTTCTAACTCTATGCGGTGGTCATGTGCCCGCTGAGGTGGCAGTCCTTCTGGTAAGTCGTCCGGGAAAATCCCCGGGTACCGTTTCAACAGTTCCTGTAGTTCGGGCGGTACTGCTGCCAACAGTTTCTGAAAATCGCTCGGCTGCTCTGCTTCTCCTACCAATGCTATATCCACTGCGTACACGTCAGCTCCAGCGGCGACAGCCCGTTTCATCGTGATGGCGTTGACGTGGACCGTTGAAGACTCGGGCGACTGCCAGCGAGGTAGCACGACCCAGTTACCGCTACTTCGCACAGTGCAGCTACCCGTCGTCCAGTCGATTCGCGGGTTATAGCGTCGCAGCCAATCACGTCCCAGTAAAATGTCGTGCCCATCCAATGTCGTCGCGAGCATTTCCTGTGTAAACCCAAAGTTCCCCCCGCAGCGGACCTTTACTCTCTCCACCTTCTCCCGTATGGCCAGCGGCGTTCCGTCCACTAAGCGTGCATCTATTTCCGGTAAACACCGACTAAGTGTCAGTTGCAACTTCCGTGCGGTTGCGGTATTGACTAAGCTGTGGCTTGCTCCTCCGTCTATAAAGATCTTCACTGCTGCTCCCTGTATTTTCCCGTGAATCAGTACTGGGCAATCCGTCGCTGTACCCTCCTTATTCATCCGAGCCCGATCGATAGCGTGAATCGGTACTGTGACTCGGTGACGGTCGGTGAGGTTGGGCGAGCAGGCAGTCTCGTCAGTAGTTGGCCCGATTCCTACTGACTGCTGGCGTTTCCCTGCCTTGGAGACTCCCTCCCCTGCTCTGCTCCGCGGCGCCTCAACTCCTCTGGGCACTCACTCTTGCGATGGCCCGGCCTATTGCAAGCAAAGCAGCGCCCCGTAAATGGCGCGGCAGCTGCATTTGTCGCAACGGCATGTACAGTGGCGTGCTCGATCGGTCCCCGAGGGCGATGTCCGTAATAGGACCCCGGTCTCGGGCGGCGTAAGATATCGATCTTCTCGGCGAGCGCGAGAATCTCGTTGAAATTCGAGAGTCCGCGTAGCATGATTTCGTGCGAGATGTCCGGCTTCAGCCCTCCAACGTAACGGTCCACGCGCTCCGCTTCGTGCATGTAGCCGACTTGCTCGCATAGTGCGAGAAAACCACTCGTATAGTCTTGAACCGACCCGAGCTGCCGCCAAGTACGCAGTTTCTGACGCGCCGAAATAGAAGCCGCGATCGGCTCGAAGCGCGCCCGAAGCCCTGCGCACCACGCATCCCACGTGCTGTATTGGGCTGTTTCGCTGAATGAACTCCAGGTGACGGCTGGACCCGTGGGCCCTTCCTCTTGCGACGGTGGCTCGTAGGCGCGTGGCGACGTCACGATGACTCGCCACCAGTCCATGGCGGGGCCCCTCAGCAGCGAAACAGCATAGCGAATCTTCGCTGCGTCCGACTCGACGTAATTCGCATCGAAGAAAACGTTCATCGTGAAGACCCACAACTGAACCGTCGGACCTCCACGTTGGCTCGGATCGAAACAGGGCGGGCACTGCGGCTTGAGTGGCATTGGTGCCATGATGTCGTGGTTGCCACTTGTTGCTGCAAATTCCACGTGCCGACGAACTTCGCGAGGCCCACGCGGGCTTGGCGCGGCCCGATTTCTCTCCATGCCAGGCATCGATTGAGCGGCGCCATCACTGGCTGCGCCTGAGCGCTGTCCCACGCTGTCGTTTTGCGTCGGTGTGCCTGATGAGATGACAATCGGTTCTTCTGATTGCGCAGGTGCATTTGCGGGTGCTTGTGATGGAGCTGGTGCATTCACCGTTGATTGCTGGCGGGCGGAGTCACGTTCCGCCGTGAGTGTCGCGATTTCGAGTGCCGAATCTTCGAGTTGACGCACGAGACGGTCGAGCTGCTCCTGCGTCAATGTCGCAAGATTAATTTCGGCCATGGCGGGGGTGTCGGGCAAACTCAGCGGGAGCCTCTGTCGTGGCCGTGCGTGCTTACGAGAGAGCACTTCGAGCGGCGGTGCTTGTTCGCTGAGAGACGTCTACCCCCCCCAAAAAATGAGATAGTGGGGAAGCGAAGGTGTGGGTGCGGTCCGAGAGGAGATCGTAGGCTCTGAATACCAAGTGTTACGAGTGCAATTGAGTGAGCGAGCGAGAATTGCACTATCGAAGCAAAAAAGTACAATGAGCGAGGGCATGAGCGAAGAATATATAGTGAAACTATAGTGGTAACGGTAATGTGTGAAAAGTGGGGTGCGCGACGGGCCTAGTGCCGAGGTTGGGTGATGTCGAGGCGGAGGTCCGGAGCGCGGGTTACCAACCGAACCGTGAGGTTGGGTCGCATCGTGAACAGTGGCAGGAGTCGTGGTCGAGGCGAATGTCGCGAGCGGGTAACGTTCACGGATGGGTGCCGATGGCAGGAACGGGCATGTACGCGGTAAGCAGGGACGCGAAGGAAGGAAAAGGAAATTTCCTTACAGAAACACACTTTTGCTAGAGCAAGAACCTGGTAGTTCAGTGTTACAAAATATCATATTGAAGATATAAAACATAGTTGTTCACAAATTTTAAATAATACTTAATAGAAACAACCATTGGCTAAATTCACCCATAGATTAGCAACGAAATCATAAACAATCACTTTATTCCATAATCAAGAACTAGCTAGCTTGTCATATTCGTTAACACATGAAAATTAAACTTGGTGCTATATAAATACATTAAATAGCTTGTCCTCATGTTTTGTAAAATATGAATGTAACATCTACGCAACCCTTCCGACGTTAACGTCGAATCTTGTTTTTTTCCATCCCCGTTGAAGTTTACACAAACGCTACGGAAATTTCGAAACCCGCATCGTCTTTCTGTAAGGTACAGATCAGTGGATGGCATACGGTATTTGAAAGAAGTTAGATACTCAATTGTAGTCAAATTTACCTGGCGAGACTGATTCTTTTGGTACTGCAGAAATGCAACACCTCGATAATTCAGTTGTGTATAATACCGTATGGTTCCAACCTAGAACCAGCGGATTATGAAACTTTGAAGGAATGACCATTATTAGTGATTAACGGTGTTTGCCACCACACCAGTCCTCCTAGCATCAGATACAGTGGAAATGCACCTACTCTACTACTACAATCTCAGCAAGAGTAGTCTTGGTTGGGAGGGAGCTGCACCCTCTCTCAGCAGGCTCATGTGCCTGCTGCTCTCAACGCCTCACTTGTCTGATGAGTCGACTCAAGCATCATGTGCAGGAGCTGCTCTCAACGGTGGCCACAATCTTCTCGAATATCCGCCCCAGTGCAGCCGCACCCGGTGACAACCCCTCCACCTTCCGCTCCTCCCCATTTGCTGCTCCACCATCCCTGCCAACACCAGCAGCAGCAGCAGCAACACCGATACCACCAGCAGCTGCAGCGGCGTCATCGCCATGGTCAGGAGCAGCGGAGCGCCCCTCCTCTGCAGCCCGGCCTAGTGAGGGGTCGAAGGGCACGCGGCCCAGGAAGGGCACTCCCATGGCTGCTGCCATGGCCTCGCCTCCCCCCGTGCTGCCCACGTGGAACATGTCTGCCTGCACTCGCAGTGTGCCGGGGAAGAGCTGGCGGGAGGGAGGGAGGGGAAATTGCATGCATAAGACTGCGGATAGATACCAGAGTGAGACACGAGGCGAGGAAGGGCACTCTCATGGCTGCTGGTCATAACCTGCCAGCTGCCCCCCATGCTGGCCCACGTGGAACATGTCCGCCTGCACTCGCAGTGTGCCGGGGAAAAGATGGTGGGGGAAAGGTAAGTGTGGGGGTAAGACTGTGAGCGGATGGCAGAGTCAGACTAGGCCACGAAGCGAAATCCCATTACTGCTGCTATCTCTGCCTGCTGTGGAACATGTCTGCCTGCACGTGTGTGCCTGCACGTGTGTGCCTGCACGTGTGTGCCTGCACGTGTGTGCCTGCATGTGTGAGAAAGGAGGATTCCAGGTTCACCATGACTGCATGTTAGGGTGGCAACACATGCACCTCACGAAGGCGCTACACTTCCTCTCCCCCCATTCCACCACACCCCCCCCCCTCATCCCCGCCAACCCACTAGCAGTGACGCGCATGTGAGCCGCATTTGCCCTTTAGGCATGCCTGTGCTTCTAGGTGCGCTCGGCTGGATGGACATACCGCTACTATCATACTAGCAGTGACACGCATGGCATGCGTTTGCCTTGGTGTGTCTGTGATTTCTAGGTGCGCTCAGCCCAACATACTGCTTGCACCGCCTGCAAGCATACCACTTGTTGGGACATCTCACAACTATCCCAGCCCAACATACCGCTTGCAGGGCTCTCACAACTATCCCAGCCCAACATACCGCTTGCAGGGCTCTCACAACTATCCCAGCCCAACATACCGCTTGCAGGGCTCTCACAACTATCCCAGCCCAACATACCGCTTGCAGGGCTCTGACAACTATCCCAGCCCAACATACCGCTTGCAGGGCTCTCACAACTATCCCAGCCCAACATACTGCTTGCAGGGCTCTCACAACTATCCCAGCCCAACATACCGCTTGCAGGGCTCTCACAACTATCCCAGCCCAACATACCGCTTGCAGGGCTCTCACAACTATCCCAGCCCAACATACCGCTTGCAGGGCTCTCACAACTATCTCAGCCCAACATACCGCTTGCAGGGCTTCCATCACTCGTGCCGTCACGTCCTCGCCTTCCCTGTCCCTCGCTGGACTGCCCGTGCTGCTGGCACTGCTTGCATGCGTGTCAGAGGCTCCTTCTGTCGCCATGCTGGCAGCTGACGTGGCAGCTGATGTGGCATTTGCAGTGGTGGCAGCGGAGTGAGTGGGGTGGTGGGAGAAGCGCACAGCAGAGAGAGGCACCTGCGGGAGGAGAGGGAGGGGAGGGAGGCACGTGAGACAGGTGGGGCAGGTGGGGCAGGTGGGGCAGGTGGGGCAGGTGGGGCAGGTGCGGCAGGAGAAAGCAGGGGACGACGGCACAGGGGTTTGGAAAGGAGAGGAGCTTGCATGCAGGGAGGGATGGAGCAGTGAGTACGCGAGGAGGCTTACGAGCAACAAGAGCATGCAAGAGGAAGGAGCAATGGATGAAGTGAAGGTAACATGTGGGTCAACACAGACACCACAACGCTTGCAAGGGGGGGGGGGGAATCACCTACAGGTGCGCACATCAGCACAACATCACCTGCAGACAACAGCACATAGCAAGCATCACCTGCAGACAACAGCACATAGCAAGCATCACCTGCAGACAACAGCACATCACAAGCATGACCTGCAGACAACAGCACATCACAAGCATCACCTGCAGACAACAGCACATCACAAGCATGACCTGCAGACAACAGCACATCACAAGCATGACCTGCAGACAACAGCACATCACAAGCATGACCTGCAGACAACAGCACATCACAAGCATCACCTGCAGACAACAGCACATCACAAGCATGACCTGCAGGTGCGCCATGTTCTCAACAACGCCCAGCACGTTGAGGCCGACCTTGCGACAGAAGCTCAGCTCCTTGCGCACATCCATCAGCGACACCTCCTGCATGGGAGGGGGGTGGAGCGGATGGGGGACATGGCAATTGGTGAATGAGGATGAAGGCGGGGGAGTGAGTGCGTGTGATGTCCTTCCGCTCCTTGCACACATCGATCTGCGATACCTCCTGGGTGGTGGGGCACGCACGACACAGCAGGAATGAGGGCAATCGGAGAGAAGGATGAGAGGGATGCATGTCCATCAACAATGACTCGTGGTCTGTCAGGCACGACACGAGGTGCGAGGGGGTTCTTCCTACTGGAGAGGGCATGGAGTGTGAGAGCATGGCGGACATGGCCGATGTGCATCACACGCATGGGATGAGGGAGGAAACACTAGCAGGGAAGGGGGGCAGTCGGACGAGAAGAGAGTGGGCGCAGTGAGGGTGGGATGGGATGGGATGGGATGGGATGGGATGGGATGGGATGGGATGGGATGGGACGGGACGGGACGGGACGGGACGGGACGGGACGGGACGGGACGGGACGGGACGGGACGGGACGGGACGGGACGGGACGGGACGGGACGGGGCGGGGCGGGGCGGGGCGGGACGGGACGGGGCGGGACGGGACGGGATGGATGGGATGGATGGGACGGGACCGGACGGGATGGGAGGGGATGGGATGGGATGGGAGGGGACGGGATGGGATGGGGTGGCATCACTCACCGAGGCACTGAGGTTCACCTGAGTCACTGAAGCTCACCTGGGGGGTGGTGAGCACGATCGCTCCGTCCACGTGAGCCGCCTTGAGAAATTGGACGGCTGAGATGTGCTCATCTGACGTGCCGGGCGGCGAGTCAACGACGAGGTAGTCCAGCTCGCCCCAATCCACGTCCTTTAGGAACTGCCGGGCGGCACGCGGGCGGCAAGTGGGCGGGGAGAGGGAGGTGAGGGTGGTGACGGGGAGGTGAAGAGGCGGGGAACCGAGAGCAGGAAAAAGCGGAAAGGAGGAAGCATTGGCGGTCGGTGGCAAACGGGCGGTCGGTGGCAAACGGGTGGTCGGAGGCAAACGCGTGGTCGGAGGCAAACGGGTGGTCGGTGGCAAACGGGCAGCAGGTGGGCAGCAAGCGGGCAGGGAGAGGAAGGCGAGGGAAAGGTGAGGGGCCAGGCGCGGGGAGAAAATTAGAGCAGGAAAGCCACTAGACCCGAGGAAGCAGCGGCAGGGAAGGAGTGCCTAGAGGATGCGGGGGAAACGAGAACAGGAGGAACCTATTTGTTGAGCCAGTGACAATAAACCCTTAAACCCGAAATCCGCCTGTTTGATGAAGCAGTGATCCTCCCTTAAAGCCCCGAACGCCTAACCCCGAGCCCCTGCACGGACCTGTTTGATGAGGCTGTTCTTGCGGGGCCCGCGCCACACAACGGCGTCATCGGGGTGGGGCAGCATGAAGGCGATGGACATGACGCCCAGGCGGTCGTCCACATACACGGGCGACCACCCACTGGCGCTCTGATGGATCTCCTCCCCCTCCACCCCCATCAGCCGCGGGATGCTGGGGCCACAGATGTCAATGTCTAGTAGACCCACCTGGGGGGGGAAAGGGGGGTTGAGTGGGTGGGTGGGTGTGGGGAGTGGATGGGCAGGGAGTTGTGTGGGGGGGAGGTTGTTGGGGAGGAGAGGAGGGGAGGGGAGTTAGTGAGATGGACAGAGGGTGGAGAGGGGAGGAGGTGTTGGAGTGGCAAGACGGTGCAGTGTGGCAGAACCTGAACCTGCTGGCGCCCTGCTGAACCTCCTCCTCTCCAGCCCCACCGCGCGGCACACTCGGCCCACCTGGGGAGGTGGGGGCGGGACGGGGGGGATCCAATCCAGATCAGTTATTATAGGCCTTGAAGGGCCAGTAACAAGACGACCTACTGAAAGTATTACTTGCCACAAGTGTTGCTCGCCTGGCCTCGCTACCCATACGAGGCAAGTAGAAACGAGGTGAGTAATACTCGAGGCCCCACATGCTCATGTCCACTACAGCTATCCTTTGTGCCATTCCACATGCCTCGGCCCGCCCCACTGCCACAGCTGACCTGCTTGTCCTGGTGCGCCAGGTGCCATGCCAGCTGCGCCGCAAACGTGCTCTTGCCCACGCCGCCCTTCCCCGACAGCACCAGCACGATGTGCTTCACTGCCTGCAGCCGCTGCGCTATGGCCGCCAGGTCTGCGAGGCGAAAAGACGGGAGAGAGGGGGAGAAGGGGGGATGGAGAAAAGGAATGGGAAGACAGGACGGGGGATCAGAAGAGTGGGGCGACGACGGCGATGATGCCTTGGATGGTAAATAGACCATTGACGCTTATACTGAACCAAGTTGACTTTTCGAGTCGACTCAAAAGTAAAATATACCTCTTGTATTGAAACAATATTAGAACTGAAGCCCTAAAAGCAGCGCCGGCGAAAGCACCTTGACAGCAGCGCACCTGGCCCTGACCTTACCAGCACAGTTTACGCCCCAACAAGCTTCAGCACCGCACGCCACCACGCCTCACCACACCCCACCACACCTCACCATAGCCCACCTTGCGCCCAAGGTTCAAAAATACGGTTTTTCGTAAAATACGGTCCGTTTTTTACGGTCCTATTTTACGGCGATTTTTCAAAAATACGGCCGTTTTTTTGTTACATAACTCTGGTCACTAAGAAAAAAAAGGGAAAAACAAGGCCATACACATTTTCAAACACGCCAACAAGCGCACACATGCAAGAAGGGGCCCGTCCCCTTCATCCTGATGAAATTCGGGTTCAATTTGGTCCCATAAAGTGGCCGATTTGTTAGTTAAACTGAAAACACCTCCTGGAACCGTTTTAAACCGTTTAAAACGGTCGTTTTTTACGGTACCGTTTTTTACGGTAAATTTTCAAAAATACGGTCGTTTTTTTAAACCCTGCTTGCGCCCAACACGTTCCAGCAGCGCACCTGGAGGTGGCGATGACAGCAGCGCACCGAGACCCGAGGTTACGAGGCAGGCAGGGTGCCCTGGGGTGGGGGTGCTGGGCTTATTGAGGTCACCCTCTCCTACATGCTGCTGCCTGTCAGATAACTCGCAGCTGAGTCCCTAACCAACCCCCGACATGCCCCAGCACCACACGCCCACACGCCCACACCGCCCCAGCACCACACGCCCCAACATGCCGCCACGGCACGGCCCACCATGCCCCAGCACAGCCCATTAAGGCCCACAATGCCCCGCCACGCCCCGCACCACACCGCCCCGTCGTGTGGTATCAACTCTCCAGCACCACACCCCCCTGTTCCACACGCCTCACCCCCACACCCCGCCACCCCCACCGCACCCCACCGTACCCCACCGCTCCCCACCACGCCCCAGCACCGAACCTGGGTCCGGCCCCTTGGGCGCCGTGGCGCAGATCTGCTGGTTGGGACACCCCGCACACGCCGCCGCCTTTCCTGCCTCCTCCGCTCCCGTTCCTGGGCAGTCTGATGGTAGGGAAGGGGAGGAGGGGGTGGGATGGGTTGAAAGGGGTGGAGAGGGTTAGACAGGCCGCGCAGGGTGCTGCCCTTTTCCGCTCTTTCACTGCAGTTACAAGCAGTCTGGGAGGCTAGGGAAAACAGCAGAGGATGACAGAAACGATCGATGGTGGGGAAGAGAGAAAATGAGATACGAAAATCGAGAGGAGCAAAAACAGCTGGTAGCAAGGCGTGCAAATTCCGTTGAACAGATACTGTTAGGAGATTCTTTGCGGCGCATCCACCGGGCGTTAAAGTGTTTACTCACTGCTGCGTCTGCTGACACGTAGTTCCTTACTCGCGGTTTCTTACTACTCACTGCTGCCTCTGCTTCCATAGTTTCTACTCGCGGCTGCTTACTCACGCTGGTTCGCGTCCTCTGGCACGTCGCCCACGGGCTGCGCCTCTCGCGGCTGTTCCATGGCGACTATCCTTCCACACAGGCAAGAGTGAAATCGCGGCCGCGGAAACAAGGTCGTGTGGCTTTGCGTGCTACTTCGAAGTTCTGCACACTATCAACAAGGGCGCGGTACATATAGGGCTTTTGGGGTGGCCTCGGTGGGGCCGATCACTTGTTTGGGTTTAAGGGGTGCAGTGCGGTTTTTAATGGAAGTTGCGAGAACTGTCATAAGAATGAGAGTGTAATGGAATGGAAATATCATTTCGGACGTATCACATGTTCATACATACAAGTCAAATTGATCCCGTCAGTTGCGTATTCGTCATCGTTGCTCCCCCTCACAGACGCCCTCGCTTCCCCTGCTCGTCGCCCTTACTTCCCCGCGTCGCCCTCGCTTCCGCTCCACGCCACCTCTTTCCCTTCCCGTCGCCCTCGCTTCCCTGCCCGTCGCAACACGCTTCCCCTGCCTATCGCCCGTGCTCCCCTTACTAGAGACGCCTCAAATTCGATGAGCTCCTTCCGTGGCATGTCGACGCTACTTTCGGAGCATTGACTCAGCCGTCGCGTTTGTAGCACTTCCTAGGTATCGCAATCTTTTAAGCAGCGATTCTCTAAGTGGTAGTACTCAGCGCAGACTTCCGCCACGTGGCACTTTGCTGCATCATTTCCGCGGAGCCTGGCGGTATGGCGCAGCGCAGCAAAGCGGCGGGCGTGACGTTTTCGCTGATCGACGAGGACCACACCATCGGGAACTCCGTGCGCTTCATTCTCAACCAGGAGTGCGTGTTCGCCTGCTATAGTGACATGTCGAGTGCTTGTAGTGATGTGTCGCCTGCTAGTGTCTTGTCTCCTGCTCCTAGCTTCGTGTAGGTTGTTTCTACATAAGTGTTTTCTGATTCTACACGTGTCGCTTGCGTTTGTGGGCCTGTTGACGTTGGTAAACCCGCTGAACACTAGAGAAAGCCCTTAATCCTAGCTGGTCTTAAACCCCAAACCCTCACTCTCCAAACCAATCTCTTGCAATGAACCTTTTTTTATGCCATTGTCCTCATTTTCTTGTAACATGGCCCGCATTCACTTGCAATTTCCCAACTCGACCGTTTTCCTCCCGCCTCCTCCCCCTCTCCCTCCCCGCCCCCCCCCCAACCCTCCCTTCCTCACCGCCCCCCCCTTCTCCCCTTCCTCCTCGTCCCACCCATCAAATGCCTTCCTCTCTTTTCTCTCCCCTCGTCCCCCCATCCTCTTTTATACCCCCCTTACAAGCAGCCCCCGTGTGAGCTTCTGCGGCTACTCAGTGCCACACCCGTCTGACAATAAAGTGAACATCCGGGTGCAAACAACAGGTGAGTGGCGGTGTGGGGGGGAAGGGGGTGGGGGGGTGCAAACAAAGGTGGGTGTCGGGGAAAGTGTAAAGAAAGGTGGTTGCCGGTAAGGGAGGGGGGGAGAATTGCAAACAAAGGTGGGTGGTGGTTGGGGGTGGGGGGTGGGTGGGGGTGGGGGAAGTGCAAACCACTGATGAATTTGTGGGGGCCCTGTATCTTTGCAAACCAGCCATCCCCCCACACCTATCCCCCCACACCTATCCCCACACATATATCCCCACACATTCCCCCACACCTGTCCCCCTCACTCTTCCTCATTCATACACATGTTATATCCTCGCACCCATCCCCTCACACCCATCCGCTCACACCCATTCCCTCACACACGTGTCTCTGCGGCCCCTTATGCCTACACCTGTAAGCCCTATCCCCTCACACATGTGTCCCCCCTTGCCCTTATAACCACACCTGTTGCTTTTAAACCACACCTTTTGTCTTCAAACCACACCTGTTGTCCTTCAAACCACACCTGTTGCCTTCAAACCACACCTGTTGTCCTTCAAACCACACCTGTTGCCTTCAAACCACACCTGTTGCCTTCAAACCACACCTGTTGCCTTCAAACCACACCTGTTGTCCTTCAAACCACACCTGTTGCCTTCAAACCACACCTGTTGCCTTCAAACCACACCTGTTGCCTTCAAACCACACCTGTTGCCTTCAAACCACACCTGTTGCCTTCAAACCACACCTGTTGTCCTTCAAACCACACCTGTTGCCTTCAAACCACACCTGTTGCCTTCAAACCACACCTGTTGCCTTCAAACCACACCTGTTGCCTTCAAACCACACCTGTTGTCCTTCAAACCACACCTGTTGTCCTTCAAACCACACCTGTTGCCTTCAAACCACACCTGTTGCCTTCAAACCACACCTGTTGCCTTCAAACCACACCTGTTGTCCTTCAAACCACACCTGTTGCCTTCAAACCACACCTGTTGCCTTCAAACCACACCTGTTGCCTTCAAACCACACCTGTTGCCTTCAAACCACACCTGTTGTCCTTCAAACCACACCTGTTGCCTTCAAACCACACGTGTTGTCTTCAAACCACACCTGTTGCCTTCAAACCACACCTGTTGCCTTCAAACCACACCTGTTGCCTTCAAACCACACGTGTTGTCTTCAAACCACACCTGTTGCCTTCAAACCATACCTGTTGCCTTCAAACCACACCTGTTGCCTTCAAACCACACCTGTTGTCCTTCAAACCACACCTGTTGTCCTTCAAACCACACCTGTTGCCTTCAAACCACACCTGTTGCCTTCAAACCACACCTGTTGCCTTCAAACCACACCTGTTGCCTTCAAACCACACCTGTTGTCCTTCAAACCACACCTGTTGCCTTCAAACCACACCTGTTGCCTTCAAACCACACCTGTTGTCCTTCAAACCACACCTGTTGCCTTCAAACCACACCTGTTGTCCTTCAAACCACACCTGTTGCCTTCAAACCACACCTGTTGCCTTCAAACCACACCTGTTGCCTTCAAACCACACCTGTTGCCTTCAAACCACACCTGTTGCCTTCAAACCACACCTGTTGTCTTCAAACCACACCTGTTGCCTTCAAACCGCACCTGTTGCCTTCAAACCACACCTGTTGCCTTCAAACCACACCTGTTGTCCTTCAAACCACACCTGTTGCCTTCAAACCACACCTGTTGTCCTTCAAACCACACCTGTTGTCCTTCAAACCACACCTGTTGTCCTTCAAACCACACCTGTTGCCTTCAAACCACACCTGTTGCCTTCAAACCACACCTGTTGCCTTCAAACCGCACCTGTTGCCTTCAAACCACACCTGTTGCCTTCAAACCACACCTGTTGTCCTTCAAACCACACCTGTTGTCCTTCAAACCACACCTGTTGTCCTTCAAACCACACCTGTTGCCTTCAAACCACACCTGTTGTCCTTCAAACCACACCTGTTGCCTTCAAACCACACCTGTTGCCTTCAAACCACACCTGTTGCCTTCAAACCACACCTGTTGTCCTTCAAACCACACCTGTTGCCTTCAAACCACACGTGTTGTCTTCAAACCACACCTGTTGCCTTCAAACCACACCTGTTGCCTTCAAACCACACCTGTTGCCTTCAAACCACACGTGTTGTCTTCAAACCACACCTGTTGCCTTCAAACCATACCTGTTGCCTTCAAACCACACCTGTTGCCTTCAAACCACACCTGTTGTCCTTCAAACCACACCTGTTGCCTTCAAACCACACGTGTTGTCTTCAAACCACACCTGTTGCCTTGAAACCACACCTGCTGCCTTCAAACCACACCTGTTGCCTTCAAACCACACCTGTTGCCTTCAAACCACACCTGTTGCCTTCAAACCACACCTGTTGCCTTCAAACCACACCTGTTGCCTTCAAACCACACCTGTTGCCTTCAAACCACACCTGTTGTCCTTCAAACCACACCTGTTGCCTTCAAACCACACGTGTTGTCTTCAAACCACACCTGTTGCCTTCAAACCACACCTGTTGCCTTCAAACCACACCTGTTGCCCTTCATAGCCGCTCCTTTAGGCCATATCCGCACGCACGTGTCTCTGCAGGTGAACCAGCCAGGGAGGTGCTCAAGGACGGGCTGGTGGAGCTTGCAAGCTTCTGAGAGCGCGTGACGCACGCATCCAGATCGTCTTGTATCCATCTGCACCACGCATGCACACAGATATCCCCTCACACACACCCGTTTCCTCACACCTGTCCACACACGCCACCCTGCAGGCGACCCGGCAAGGGAGGTACTCAAGGATGGGCTGCTGGAGCTGGCAGGCTTGTGGGCATCCATGTTCCCTCGTTGCCCATCCCCTTACGCACCTCTCCCCTTACGCACCTCTCCCCTTACGCACCTCTCCCCTTACGCACCTCTCCCCTTACGCACCTCTCCCCTTACGCACCTCTCCTCTCCCCTTACGCACCTCTCTCTGCAGGCGACCCGGCAAGGGAGGTACTCAAGGATGGGTTGCTGGAGCTAGCAGGCTTCTGTGAGCATGTGACACGCACGTTTGAATCCGCCTTTGACAAGTTTGAACGGCGACGACGAGGCGAAGCAGTGGAGGAGGAAGAGGAGGAAGGGGATGATGAGGACATGCAGGATGCATCTTGAAACCGTGCTGCTTGCACAATCTGTCTCATGTTGTTCGCCTTAGTGCTGTTGTTCGAACCAATAATTCCTTGACTGTGTTCGAACCGTCAGCCAACAACGTATATATGCAGATTTTGTTGTAATGTTGTAGGTATTTTGCCACATAATTGATAAATACTGTACAGGGATTGAGGTGCAAATGTAGCTACATCAGATTACATCTCGGACAGTGACAACCCTACGGTTCACTCCTCTCTGTTTTTGCGAGTTGGAGCAAAATCCTTCCCAAAACCGAGTGGTGAGGTGGTGAAACCAAAAAAGGATGAAACTACAGAAATACTCCCAATAAACTGCTAGGCCAAAAATTTCTACCTCCACCTATACGAACACCCCTCGGGAAGTCGGCGATGGCCCTCTTCATCGTACAACTTGATACACCCACGAGTATTCAAAACCACCAGCAGCTTCAGCTCTCCTATATCTTCGGGCAGAGCCTCTAGCTGTTTGCAGTCCTCCAAATCCAGAATCCGTAGCCTGCTAAGCCGAGAGAAGTTGGGAGGAAGAGAAGTGATGGAGCCGTGGTGGACCCTTAGCTCACAGAGGCAGGACAGCCGAGTGAGGGAGGCAGGGAGGTGCGTGAGAGACTGGGAGTTGGTCAGAATCAGCTTGCATTATCTGGTGAGTGCTGTGAGTGAATCGGAAGTGTGGAGACTTTGGGGGCTTTGATCTCCATGTATGTGAGCTTCTGGAGAGCTGCAATGGTCGGTGGGAGTTCAGTCAACTCAGGCAAGAGTATTTCCAGCTGACGCAGCTCCTGCAATGTCGAGATGGAAAAACCAGGAAGCTTCATCACTCCGGTGCTTAGGATTGACAGGGTGCGGAGGTGAGGAAAGGCCGTTAATGGAAACGGGAAGTCCTCCTCCCAAGCCAGGTACAGCTTCAACTGCTCCAGAGAGGAAAGGCTTCTGGAGAGTGCAGCAGGGAAGATCACCATGTACAGGCTCAGTTCCCTCAAGCATGGAAGATGATAGACGCCTGGCAGACGGGTGACCTGATGCAAGCTCCCCCCGCTTAGGGCTTCTAGCGAGCCGGGCAAGAAATCTGGCGCTTTCCTCAGCAACACACAGCCGGCCAGCTCCAACTGCTTCAGCCTGGCCAGATTCACAAGATTCTTAGGCACTGAAAACAGGCTGCTGCAGTTGTCAACCTTGAGAATTTCGAGGCCCAGGAGGGCTAAAACGGAGTCTGGAAGCTTCTGGATGTGCGAGCAGGATTGGATGTAGAGCTCCCGCAGGCCTCTCAGCTCCCCCATCGCCTCTGGGAGCTCTGCCAATGCGCAGTCCTGCAGCTTAAGCCTTGTCAGCGAAGCTAGGTGGGTGAAGGAGGATGGGAGCAGATGGCGTTGCTGGTACGATTTCAGGAAGAGAGTCTGCAGGTTGGTAAGTTGTCCAATGTCGTCAGGAAGGATCAGAGAAGGTGAGCCCGCAAGGCACAGCGTCTTGAGCGCAGTGAGAGCGCCGAACCCTTCAGCTAACTCGCGTAGGTGTGGGCGCTCCGTGGGAGAGCGCTGTGAGACAAGACAGATTCGTGAGTTCTGGAGAGATTAACATGGACCGATCGGCGATCGCGAGCGAGCGGAGGTGCACGAGCTGAAAGATCGACGGTGGTAGCGTGAGCTGATAGTAGAGGCAGCCCAACGATAGATGCTCCAGCCGCGTGAGTCGACTCAAAAGTCACCTCGTTACTATGGCACACGACATTTATTCATCAAGGAGAGCTATAATCGCATGGAGGCTACCTAAGAGGGTTGGCAGTTATTTGATTTCTGCTAATAAGTGTTAGACTACAGTAGTTTTTGTTGCTGCTACACTTGTGCTCTCATTTCGCTTTTGCCTGTTGTCTCCGAGCTCGCCGCATCGAAGATTTCCCGCGCGGGTCAGAGTCTAGGTTGACATTCTTGTTAGAATAAGCAGGTTGACTAGGTAGCATGCATGAGTACAAGTACCTAACCCTAAAGTGTTGTACCCCTTGTAGGCTAACCCACTATAGCCTAGAGATAACACAAACATACTGTTTGACACACCCCCATAGGCTAAGTGGGAGATAGCAAACACAACAGACGGTCACAAGACCAGTCAAGCAAGAGAACAAGCAAAGCAAAGCAAAGCTCAGGGTGGATCTCAAGGACACCACACAATCTGAGCACAAGCAGAGTTATAATAGCAAGGCAGTACACTGATCACAACCTAGCAAGAGTAAACAAGCAGGTATAAAGATATATATCAGTGTACAACAAGAGCAAGTCAAGCAACCAGCAGGTGAGGCAGAGTGGGCACAAGCCCAAGAGCAGTGCAAAAACGCTGATGATCACCAGACCCAAGGGCCTTGGTGAAAACATCAGCAGTGTTGGCCCGAGAGGCCACGTAAGCAAGGCGCAGCTGACGACGCTGCTGCAACTCACGCGCAAGGAAGTAGCGAAGAGCAATGTGCTTCGTTCTGTGCTCCAGTCTCTGCTCGCGACACAAGGCAAGCATTGCCTTGTTGTCGACGTACAGAACTGGAGGAGAACGAGGCCGCTCCCCCAAGTCGGTCAGCAGGTAGGTCAGCCAGCGTATCTCCTGTGCAGCCATGGCCCCAGCGTAGATCTCGGCCTCACAGCTGGAACCAAGCACAGAAGAAGAACAAGTGGACCTCCACGAGCCAAGACTAAAGGTGTAACCCTGTGACGAACGCTGAGTCGCCTGGTCGTCGGCCCAAGAAGCGTCAGAGTGTCCTGTGAGGACCACCGAACCCCGTCCTCCAAGCACGAGCCCCATGCCCGATGTGCTGCACAAGTAAGGCAGTACCCTCTTCGCAGCATCAAAGTGCACCTTTCGGTGTCTACCGGGTGCCACGTAGCGAGCCAGAAGGCTGAGAGGGTACGCGAGGTCAGGTCGTGTGCACGTCATCAGGTACATGAGGCAACCCACAAGCTCTGGGTACGGACCACTCGGCTCTACGGACTCGTCCGAAGGTGGAGTTGAGAGCGAGTGGCCGGTAGCCAGAGGAGTGGGCTGTGGCGAGGAGTACATGAAGCGGAAGCGCTGAAGGACCTGGTGCACCATGTGTGACTGAGTCAGGGTGATGGTGCGCCATGCTCTGTCCCGGGTGATCTGCAAGCCAAGATAGCTCCGCAGCTCACCCAGGTCAGTGCAGGTGTGTCTCTCCTGCAGCTCCGCCTTCACTAGGGCCAGTGCCTCAGTGTCAGCAGTAGAAAAAACCAAGTCGTCGACGTACACTAGGATGTAGAACGGCGGCAGAGTAGTGTCGGTGCGTAGAAACAGCGACGGGTCAGCAGTCGAAGGAGCAAACCCAAGAGCCGCAAGTGTCGTCCTCAGTGTGTCGTCCCACTCGCAGGGCGCCTGACGCACGCCGTACACTAGTCGCCGTAGGCTCCACTGGGTACCCTCAAGAAACGACCCAGTGAAGCCCTGTGGATGGCGCAACCAGATGGCCTCGTGAAGGCTACCCTGCAAGAAAGCTGTCGAGAAGTCGAGGGAGTGCAGCTCGTAGTCACGTTGAGCTGCAACGTGTAGCAACACCCGAAGAGTGGTCATCTTCGGGGTGGGGGAGAAGGTCTGAAAGAAGTCGACCCCCTCACGCTGACTGAAGCCTCGAGCAACGTAACGTGCCTTGAAGGCAGGCGGAGAACCCGGCGGCCGCTTCACCCTGAAAATCCACATGCCACTGACGATGTTCGCCCCAGGTGGGGGAACCTCGTCGACGTAGGTGCCTGTGGACTTCCAGGAAGCCATCTCTGCGTCCATGGCTGTCAGCCACTGAGAGGAGTACTCACCCGAAATCGCCTTCCTGTAGGAGCGCGGGGTGGGGATGTCAAGTGCATCCGGGCCTCCCTCAGGGGCAAGCAGCATGGTCGCGTGATGGGGTGAAGCGGCCGCATGGCACTCCAGCTCCTCCTGTCTGTCCTCAAGAACGTCACAGCTAAGGGCAGTACAGCCAAGGGCAGTCTCACCCCCGACGGACGGAGGACAGGCAGGGTCAGGGTCAGAGACAAGACTCGCAAGGTAGTCTAGGGGGTACACAGAAGCAAATTCAACGAGCTCAGCGACTAAGGCAGACGCAGCAGGAGACGAGAACGTAGGGTCTGTCACAACCGTAGCAAGGAAGCGAGTAACAGTCGGACTGGACGCACGAGCAAGGTCAGACGGAGGGTCAGCAACGTCAGGAAGAGAGGACGCAGGAGGTAACGGTAGGACAACACGCTGTGGAACAGAGGAAGGACGGAGTGTCATATCGTGAGTGCCGAGGACAGCCGGAGCACGCGGACGACGAACACGAGGAACACGAGCACGGACAGCAGCTCTAGGCTCAGGCTCAAGGTCAAAGCTAGACTCAGGCTCTCGACGCTCAAGGGTGGAAGCACGAGTCTCAGGCTCTCGACGCTTAGTCACGGACTGTGTCACCGCAGTGTAAGGAGCAGGAGCAGGCAGTGGGGAGTGCGGTAGCAGCGGCGGCTGTGACTGGTCCGCCGGTGGAATCAGCAACTGAGGAGTAGTACCTGCCACAGGGAAGTCAGTAGCACCGGGCGGAAGACTGAGAAGGTGGCGAAGAGCACCAGCAGCTCCCGTACCTCCAGCACGAGCAGCTCCTCCAGTACCCCCAGCAACACCTCCAGCACCAGTAGCACCAGCACCTCCAACACCACGAGCTCCCACAGCGCCAGCACCTCGAGCACCAGTAGTACCTCCAGCACCTCCAGTGCCTCCAGCTCCAGCTCCAGCGCCTCCAGCACCAGTAGTACCTCCAGTACCTCCCGTGCCAGAAGCTCCAGTAGCACCTCCAGTACCTCTAGCACCAGCAGCACCACCTGCTCCGGCAGCTCCAGCACCTCCAGTACGAGCACCTCCGGGACCAGTAGCTCCAGCACCTCTAGTACCTCCAGCTCCAACGCCTCCAGCACCAGCAGCACCAGCACCTCCAGGGTCAGCAGCTCCCGCAGCTCCAGCACCAGTAGCACCAGC